ATTCCCATATCCGCCACTGATATGTGCCCATGCATGCTTGATAAGGCATATTCATCTGATTTAGACTGGTAAATAGATTTTTGTAATAGAATTCTGGCCCTGGAATGGTTGAAAAAATTACTAATTCCAGTGACGTAGCTTCTTCTTTGAAATGGGAGGTCAGCCAGAAAAAAAATCTACTCGAAAAAAAAACTGTCCTAATTTTTGTTTTCAAATAATTACTACATTACCCTTAGTGGACTATACTTCAAGAAAAAGTGGGGATGGGGCTGTGCTTTCCATGAACATTACATTTTCTATAGTAAAGTTATATATGGGAAAAGGGGGGGGGGGCTGATATTATGTGCCTGAAATTCGTCCTAATCAATGAGGAGCATCCCCCCTCTTACCAGTCATTAAAACACGGTCGTCAACGTTCATTATATACCAGATATACAGCTTTGAGATAATGAAAATGTATTTTTACATCAGGTAATGAACTTTTGGAATCAAAATGATGAAGAGTTAACACAATATAAAGATATTTTTAAATCACATAAGAAAAGGTTGACATAACGTAATTATATATCCACATCACGGAATGGAGTTTTGACATAATGTAATAAAGTGTTGATATAATATAAAGATATGTTCACATTATTTTATACCCTTTTTACACCATGTAATAACGCACTGACATAAAGGTAAGATGTGTTCATCTCACATCATGATGCTCTCGACGTAAAATAAAGATAAATCCTGTTTTGATATAATAGAAATATACACTCTCAAAAAGGAATGGAATTTTGACTTCATGTAATGATAAGATTAATTATAAAACACAATTTGCTTGACGTAATGCAGTTTTGACGTCGCATATTAAAGAAATGAAATGATGTAAAAAAAAAAACATTCATTTCACGTAATAAAGTTTTAACACAATGTAAACACATAATCACTTCACATAATGGATTTTTTACTTGAAGTTATGAAGTGCTGACATAATAAAAAAATGTATTTACTTCATGTAATGCAGCATTGACTTGATGTTAAGATATTTTCACACCATCTCATAAAAAATGACATAACGTAAAGATATGTTCACATCACATAATGATAAATTGACATAATAAATGCATAGTTGTATGCTATAAGGCAGTGATGGCGTTCAATATATATTTGTATATATTTACAACGGTTTACTGGGAATAGTTTGTGGCATTCAAATTATTCAGAATATACTTAAGTCACTTTTTCAGGTCACTCAGGTGACCTATTGCTATCCGTTTTTGTTCGCCATCGTTCGTCGTGCACTGTCCGTTAACATTTGAACATTTTCAGCTTCTTCTCTGAAACTAACCAAGTACAGAGGGCTCTATTTTAATTATTTTTAGACCCCAGGGTCAGTGGTTCCTGTGGGTTGGGGTCCACAACTGGTAGTTATAACGTGGAAATGCATTTTCTCTTTGTTACTCTGGTCTACCTCTTGGTATTAATATGCTAGGTGTATAGTTATGATAAACAATTGATGGTGCTTCTTTCAAAATTGTGAATTTCATGGCTTTTGGTTTAAAACACGAACCAATTTCACATTGTAACAGTTGTTACATGATACTCAGGCGACCTAAAAGGCCCCGGGCCTCTTGTCTTTTTTTTCTAAATGACTTTCTGTGTAATTTTTTGAATTACTGACTGACTATATTTATGTATTTTTGAAGCTTATGCCTTCTTACAAACTCTTGGAATTCCCATAAGTACTAAATGCGCCCCGTTTTTAACAGGCCTACTTTTGTATTGACAAGAAGCACGATTTATTTAGAAACTTTTCCATGACAATAAGAAGTCTTCCTGTATCCTTTTATTTGACATAAAGATATTTCAACCACGATTTATCAATTAACAATATTTCATTTTATGATTTATGTTTATTCTGTTTACATCTACCCCCCTAAACATTGAAGAGTCTGGCACGTCTGTTTCGTATTTGGATATTTTACTAGAAAAAGATGCTAAAGACAAACTAAGAACACATTCCATAGTAAACGTAATTGCGTTCTTAAGAGTATTAGTTTTTAAAGTCAACAGTCACGCATTTATTTAGCCTTCAGGTTACGCTATCTATTGATTTTACTTCCCTATAACAATATAGTTAATTTCTGTTCTTTTGAAGATCTTTTGAACTTATTATTTTTATCAAGGAACTATCTAATTTCCACATAATGTGCGTTTCTCTTGGTCACGTCTTACGCTTCATTGGTTCCTCCTACATGTACCTAAAGATGTTTTATAATTCTACGTGACAAGGAAAGAACACAGGATATACATTGAAGGCCAATCAGACTCATTCCTTGAAGATTTTATAAAATACATGTAAATATTTTACACACTTTTCTCTAGGTTTTTTTTTTTTTGGGGGGGGGGGGGGTGTAAAAATACATGCACACAGTACCGACCAGAGTACTGACACAAAGCAATCCCGGGGACGGCTTTCTGGAACTGCTTGGGTGTCAGGTTGGGTCTGGTCGGTACTGTGTGGTCCACGTATTGCATTTTTTAAAGTCAGCAACTTGTTTATTACAATGAAAATAAAAGTTCAGATCATGGGATGTTTTTAAGTGCTCTCGGTACGCAAATTAAAAACATCAACACATCGATGGTACAATAATTGATTTCTCGGGGCACTTAGGATCAATTAGTGGGTTCCACTCAGTTTTAAGTAAGACTCTCACGTAGCATCGGTTTCCTTTGATGTATATACATCAGTATGACATTGACCATCTACTCTTAAACATGTACATAAGTGGTCCCTTTTATTTAGTAACAGTTTGAAAAACAAATGAATGAACCTGAAACGGTGTGTTCCCTGAATGGCTACTGGAATAAAACAACAAGTAATTATCACACTCAATTAAGGGTCCCTCTAAGGGGTACAGGTAGACTTACCTGTGTTTACCTGGATAAGCAATATTTTGTAAATCAGATATATTCATTCAATTATATTTTAATTCAGAGGGTTTTCTATTTTCCAAAATATACTGAATAAAATATATATAAATATAACATGTATAAGTAGATAAAATTAAGATTTAAGAAAAGTGAAATTTTTATTGTACCTTAATTAATATAATTTTTTCCCCAAATTATTAATAGTATTGATTGAGAACTTAAAAATTATTATCCCTTTTGTGCTACATTTTCAAACTCTTTTAGATAAATTAACACAAGTGGGTTTTTTTTATATATGTATGATAAATAAAGTGCTTCTATAAAGTTTCGTTTAATTCATTTTATTTATCTATCATTTTGAATTATCAAAACATTCTATTAAATAATCATAAAATCCAGGTGAAGTTTATGAACTTCTTCCCCTTTCATAGCAATCCTTTAGTTGCAAAGAAATATACGGAAATGGACTAAATAAATTGTAAATATGTTTTATATAAAAGTGAAACAGTGTTATCTCATATATAATGTGAAAATCAGTGCTGCTAATCAACAGAACTTCAAGATAATTTATAGTTTTTAATATGATTTGTGCTTGTAAAATTATTTATTTAAAAAATATGTATACAAAATATTTATATAGTGCTCAAATTAAAATAAAATGAGATGAATTTCCATTTTATTTTGTTTCAATTATGGTAGATTTTTCATACCGGTAAGTCTACCTGTACCCCTTAGAGGGCCCCTTAATTGAGTGTGATAATTACTTGTTGTTTTATTCCAGTAGCCATTCGGGGAATAAACCCCTGAAACTGCTTAATTAGGACGGTAAGTGCTGAAAGTTGCCAGTCCAATTAATAAATAAACAAGAGGCCACATCGCTCACCTGAGCATATCAGCCAGGAAAGAGCAGAAATCGGTCAGTTTTGAAAAGTTTGAAGAAATAAATAGTCACAAATACCCCCATCCCCAGAAGGGGAGCTAACTCTGATATTTCCATTCTTGACTTTAGATTTTTTTTTATGCCCCTTTAAACAAAGTTTCGGGGGGTATACAGTTTTTTTCCCTGTCCGTCTGTCTTTTAGTCCGCAAAAATTTAACCTTGCCCATTAGGCTATGCCTTTCTTCTTTCACAGGTGTATTCCTTGTGACAAGACCTTTCTTTGGGTACCACCAAATTTGACCTCTTGACCTTGGAGTTTGACTTTTACCAAAAATATACCACACTTTTACTTTGGCCTTAACTTTTAAACGATCGGTGCTATGAGTTTCATACTCCACATATTTTATTTTTTATGAAAAGACCTTTCCTAGTATACCAACAACTCTGATCCTTTGACCTTGACCTAGGAGTTTTAACGACTTTTTAAAAACTTTAACCTTGGTGACAACTTTTGAACGGTTAAAGCTAAGGCTTTCATACTTCAAATATGTAATCCATGTGACAAGACATATCCTTTGAAACCAACAACTTTGACCCTTTGACCTTGACCTAGGAGTTTTACCTACTTTTTAAAAACTTTAACCTTGGTGAGAACTTTTAAACGGTTAAAGCTAAAGCTTTCATACTTCAAATATGTTATCCATGTGATAAGATCATTCTTTACTGTTTAGAAACTCACAACTTTGACCCTCTGACCTTTAACTAGGAATTTGACCTACTTTTAATAAACTTATCCTTGGTCATAACTTTTGAACAGGTGGTGATAGGGCTTTCATGCTAGTATTATACAATTGTATTTCTTATGAGAAGGCCTTACTTTGGGTACCAACATTTTGATTTGCATTTGAAAGTTTAACCTTCGCTATGTTCCAATACAGGGCATCAGTGTTTCACAACCACATTTTGTTTCTAAAGAATTGATCATCAAGTGGTTCACCCCCGGGTTATTGTAAAATTCCGTAATAAGATGTGCCAAGAAACATATCTTTTAGTTGTACGATAAAATGCTTATACAACTAATTGACATATGATGGGTATATTTTCCTAATATTACCTACATGTACTTTAACAATCTCAAATAACAACAAATTAAGTATACAAGACTTGTTGTTTTTTTCTTTTTTTAAAAAATACTATATTTTCTATTTTATAATACATATATGTACATATATGTCATAACAAATATTATTTCTAGTAAAATTCAATATGAATTTGCATTCACTATGTATTCAGTCCTATTTTACTGTTATATACATTTTGACTGCCATTAAAAGTCGTTATCATGTGTTTCCCTTAATGATGAACTGACATGTCTCACTGAATAACAACACGGATACGAATGGCCCCCACACTGAGCAGACGACACTTCAGGATGTCTGTTGGAGGTGGGCCTGCATTTGTTTGACTTTTGCCTCATCCTCCTGTGAGAGGGAGGTTAATTTTTTGCCGATTCTGTCGTGGATTTCCATGTATTTAGCGACACACCTGTCCAGACATACAGCTTCTCCCTTGGAGAGTTCCGCCTCCTTATATTTGGGGGGTATACACTTCTGTAAACAACATGCTGTCATCCTGTAAAATAAACACTGACGTAAGGACAAATGCACTTAGATTCTCATAAGTCATGCATGATAGATAACTCAGTGAATGGATGATACATGTATAACACAATAGTTAAGTGCTTGTGTACGTAGGGGTGTGAAGAAGAGCTCACATGTACTTCCTGTTGCATCATACATCCATATGACTCAATCATTACATTACTGGACAGAAGTGGTGAAGTGCATGTTAATAGTCAACATTTATGAAACTGTCAAAATCCCATCTATTTAAGCACTTTTAAGTTTATTATTAGAACATTCATGTATTTAAACTAAATTTACATGTATATTCAAATGGAAAAATATGCTGGGAGAAAAATCCATTGACATATATTTCAATGAAAGATGCAACCAATGAAACAAGGGCACCACAAAGGGGTGCAGTCTCTCGCAAAGAGCATATCATAACGCATAACGACATTCACGACATATTTACCATGATTAAATTATATATATATAATTATATGTAAGTATTTGTGTATTGAGAATTCTTTTATTGAAAGAAGGTTTTAACTTACATTGACAAAAAATTCATATATAATTTGATTAAATTTACATGTTAAAAAAAAGGTTTCATATTTCAGTCATAACGCATAACGACATTCACGACATATTTACCATGATTAAATTATATATACATAATTATATGTAAGTATTTGTGTATTGAGAAATCTTTTATTGAAAGAAGGTTTTAACTTACATTGACAAAAATTTCATATATAATTTGATTAAATTTACATGTTAAAAAAAAAAGGTTTCATATTTCAGTATTGACCTGAATTAAGTGTGCATTTTTTTTTAAAAAGCCTTTTCAGTTTCTGAAAGTATTCCAATTTTGGTTTTGAAGTTATTTTTCCTCTCTCTTAAGGACAGATGATACAAACAATTTTTTTCTTTGAAAAAAATTTGATATGTCACAAGTTTAGAAATATGGATGGTTCTTAGAAATTTTTCTCCTAAGAACTGGAATATTAAAAAGACTTGGAAAATATTAGTAATATTTCAATGAAAAAACAAATATAGACAAATCACATTCAGTAAAGGTTTACAGGTGAAAACAAATTTCAGAATATGTTAACATGGTGCTAAAAGTGTAATATAAACTTAAGAAAAATATACCAAGCCAGGTGAATTTTATTAGGAAAAGCTAAATGGTAAAAATCAGCCTATGTGATATTGCTATTTTTTGTCATTTTGATCTTCCTCTTTAAATTCACCTGGCTTGGTATATTTTTCTAAGGTTAATATTACACTTTTAGCGCCAAGATAACATATTCTGAAATTTGTTTTCACCTGTAAACCTTTACTGAATGTGATTTGTCTATATCTGTTTTTTCATTGAAATATTACTGATATTTTCCAAGTCTGTTTCATTTTCCAGTTCTTGGAGAATAAATTCTAAGAATCATCCACTTTTCTAAACTTGTGACATGATATTAAATCTTTTTCAAAGAAAAAATTTGTTTGTATCATCTGTCCTTAATTAACTTAATTAACTAGTGCAATATGTATTAAATGTGCAGTTAGGCCTACATTGTCTTCGATCACTTTATTTTATCTAATGAAAGTTGTTTTCCAAGATTCCTTGGTATGTAAATAAATATTGTTTCTCTTTTTCTAATTCTTGGTTCAATCAGAGACATGTCTCTGGTTCAATTTGTTCTGCTGGCCCTGATAACGATATAGTTCTATCGGAAGCCATTTTAAATTGACTTCAAACATTGTTTTGTCAAAACACACACATCGGAAGGCCTCGGGAACCAGGCTAACGTAGATCTAAGCTTGGGTTGTAACTGGAAGTTAAAAGTGCAACCTAATTTACGAACCAAATCTGTTCAGTCGACATTTTTTTTTAATACCATCTGTCATTAAGCAATAACAAATGTCATGAAGAATCAGATTCAACCAATTTACATGTCTTGAAAGTATAATATCATAAAATGCACATTGTCTAATAGATCTATGAAAAAAATTTGAACCATGTCATGCCATATACCAAAATTATCAGTAGTGGGAAATCAAATCTATGAATATCATATGTACAATGTACAGTCAGTTCCAAAAGTTAACATGGTTTATTAATTTTGAAGTGCAAAAAAAAAAAAAAAAAAAAAGACTAATTTTTTTTTTATGAACTATTGTTTTGAGTGGATGACATTTATTGACATCTCCTGCGCTAATGTCCAATAATCACTATCATTTCCGTTCTTATCATAAAAAAAATTGTTTGATTCATCCCTGGTTGTGTTGATTTTGTCATTTTGAAAATATTTATTCCATGGTCAATATAGGGTTTCCCTACAAGTGTTCAATAGGGGTTTTGGAGTACCAGTAAAAAAAAATGCATTTTTACGTCCATGTCAGATTTATCCTGAAATAACACATCAGATTCAGAGTTTTACATGTATTTATCTCATTTGATTTCTTTTTTACACATGTATTGTCTTCTTTATGACCAATATATTTATTTAATAGTGTTGCATTATGCATGTACTATGCCTAAATAGTAGGCAGGGTTTGACACATGGTGCACGAGCAGGAGGCGAGTGCACTATGTTTTTATTTAGGCATAGTACATGCATAATGCAACACTATTGTTATTATTATGCTGACTGTTGTAATTATTTATGCTGCAATCTATTTGACTTTTTCCTGAAAATATCGGTGCTTAAACAGCGCACCTGCAAGAACTAATTTAAAATATTCATGCTAAAATTGTTTGCATGCTTAGTTATTTTGGTTACTAGTATTTTCTCTAAATAAGTCGGGATTTTCTGTCCCAAAGCAACACATCTTTATTTTCTGTTTTGTTCGTAAGCCTTATTTGTTTGCAGACGTCGATTCTCATTGATAATTTTCTTTTACATCCTTCAATCAAGCGTCATATAAAAAAGCGTTTTAATGACCCTATAAAATCAGTTCATCTAACGATCTGTATGTAATTAGTTTGAAAGTTTGTTGTACATATTAATCTAAAGTTCCTTAGAATAATATAACTGTTTTCAAATAATATTTGTCTATTTTCTCCTTCTTGTGTCAATTGTATAAATTAAGTTTATATATTTAATAAAATGGTACCAATCAGTGATCGTCTCTATGGCGTAACCGATAAGGCATCGGACTGACAATCTCATGGTCGTGAGTTCGATCCCCGGCATGTGCATGGAAGAATTTTATTCAGTAAACAAAGCCGTGCACTATTTCGGCATAGTATGCTTACGCTATATAAATGCTTAGACCACTATGCGAGAATAGTAGGGTATGGGTTATATAGAGACAAACTGACAGGAAGCATAATAATACATGATATTTGAACATGTTGAACATCCTCAATTTTTTATTTAGAAAATGTTATTCTTTGAAAGATTTTTTCCAGGGATTCCAAAATGGACATCAGAATGGGAATTTTCAAAACTGACATTCCACGACCATAAACAGATAAAGGGCTGTTTGAGACTGTTGAAAGGTAAATAAAGAATCAAGAATAGGAGTAAAATTATCAAATACCATTCATAAAGCGGGGAAAAGCATGAAATGCTAGAAATAATATTTAAAGTATCTGTCAGAATTTTGTCAGGCATGGACTGGAGCTACAGTTCCAATGGCGGATTCAGGGGGGTTTGGGGGGTAGCTTGGCTTTTAAACCCCCCCCCGCTCATTGAATTTTTTTTTTTTACAAGTGTCATTTCATTTTGTTGCATTGATAAGACTCTAATAAAGATGAACCCTTTGTTTTTACAACTGTGAAATATGCAACTACGTAACAGGAAATCACTTTCCGCTTGAACGCACACAATACACAGGTAATCAACAGAGAGAGTGCCGCAGAGATCGGGAAGTCCATGCATCGAGTGAAGTCACAAGGTCACAGTACAATGCAGTCTGGTATCAACAACAAAAAACTGCATAGTTACGGTGCTGCTCAGTAATATTTTTTTGCTGATAAAATGCATGTTTTTAAACTATGAATAAACTAATATTTAGTTGTTTTTTTTTTACCGTTTTAAAAATAAACAAGAATAGATATGGGTTACCCCATATCCAAAGATATTCGACTTTTAGATTTAATATGTTTAACAGTGTTTAATGACGTTTATAAAAATAAAATTGCACTGTCTAGTTATAGAACTTGTGTAAATTTCGTGAGTCCGTAGCATTACGGTCACCCAGTCTCCTAACCATGCTAACAAACAGTACACATACCTATGTCCGCAAGACCAGTTAGCCTTGGTCTATACACAGGTGCGATGGAGTTGTAAAACGGACTCCCGCGAACAGAGAAGTTACGATGGCAGACAGAACTTTTTTTCATAATTAGATCACATGAATACAAATTTTGATTCATTAAAATTAAACGACTGTCAGTTTAGAAATCCCCGGCCAGTTCGGGTTTTTCTTACACATTTTACAGGTACTCTCCCGATGTGTAGTTTGTCTACACACGTGCAGGAATCTGCTCAGGGATTGAAAATTCCGTCATTTAATATACTACACACACAGAATGATTTTTTTTTTCTCTTAGATGAAACTATATGATTATTAACGAACAATTAACATGATTTTACTACAGTTGTTGATATTAGTATAATCAATTCATCAGTGAAAAAATATCAACCGAAGAATGACCTATATATTCTCTGTTATCAAACATGTTAAAAAAAAAAGCTGAGGAGGGAGCGAGCGTAGGAATATTAACATTTTTTATTTGCATTTAGGGGGAAAAGTGATCTTTGGAGGAAAAATTAACATTAATTTTGGTTTCTTTTACGTATGACATACACTACATTATTCTTAGCATGAAAAATTATGTTGTATCTACTTATCAATGATGGAACTATTTTCGTCGGAACAATTTGTGTGAGTCGCCGCTGACTTCAGTAATATATCTTGCACTAATAGTATGCACTGATCGAATATATTAAAAAATTAATATTTTTTTTTTTAACAAAACCAGGTTGGCTTTGCAAACCCCTCTAGTTTTGACAGATTCCCAGTTTATGTAATTTTTTCTTTAGTTTGAAATTTCATTAATTGAACACATGTGTTTATATTCCAAATCATATTAACAATATATACACAAGTAAGTCGAAAAGCACTAGTTTGGGATTCTGAAAATAATTCAATTTTTAATTTTTTAGTGTTTAAAAATTTTGCACATTAGTTGTATCTTGGAAGTCAGCTTGACATAGGACTAAATTAATTGTAGGTGCATTTAAAGTAAAGACAACTTGAAGTCAACTGCTTGCATTCATAAAATTGGCAGATTTAACAATTTTTTAAAGCAAAGTCTAAAGTCTTGTGTTAATGTTAAATTAAATTGAAAACATTTTATTAAAAAATTGTGATGATCAGTCTTTAAAAAAGCTACAAAAACTAAACTACCCCTAAAATGCTGGAAAATGCACCATTTAGAACCATTTAAAACAAATTTTTCTCGGAAAAATAATCCCGAACCGATAGGGGGGGGACACCCTCTCCCATGCCCTCCCCCTTCGGCCCTTTGGGCCTCAAACCCCCCCCCCCCCAACATGATCTTCTGGATCCGCCACTGAGTTCTGCATGCAGGCCAAATAGCTTGGCTTTTATATTATTACATTTAATATGTCAACTATATATTTTTAACATTATTAAGAATACAACAAAGAACTCCTATGATGTATTGTATATAAAATTATCTCTCAAAACTATAAATAGTTTGTGTAACTCGAATTTACTCTACGAATTTAAATGTAAAAGAAAAATGCACATGAAAAAATATCAAACTTACTTGTTATACATATCTGCAGTCATTTCAATTTCAAGATCGGCGAACAATTTCATCTGTGCTTCGTTTACAGTTGTCATCTTTCAAACTTTATCTTTTCCTTTGAAAACTGATCTGACACTGACACACGTGTTTACAGCGGAAGCGGAATAAAGTATACAAAAATCTGAACGTGCTGAAGGGGAAAAATCCGAAATCGATTCCGTCTCTTTCATCGTCCATGTAGATTAATAAGTTACAAATTGAACAGGTGAAGTGGGTGAAACAAACGGCATAAAATATTTAGTCATAATCATATCTCAGGGTGAAACTTATTGATATTCGTAGCATAACAGTTTACATTTTTATCATAAGCATATGTCTTTTGAAAGAAGATCTTTTTATACCGTCACATTAAAATTTTGAACTCAAATATATTTTGCACAACTTAAACATATCCCAAATATAAATTTATAATGGCAAATCTAATATGCTTATATGAAAAAAATTGAATTTGGCGCCAATTTTTCTTGCAGTAACTACGGAAGTGAGGCTTCCATTTTTCTTAGCAACCCTTCAACAATATGGCGGCTAATGTTCGGCGGAAAGAGTTTCAGCATTAGACAAAGTGCTCGTGCAAAATGACACTCAATCCTCTGGCCAACCCTAAAGGGTTAAAACTGGTCTGTGAGTTGTGCCAAAAACCAGCATATATACAGTGTACAAAATGTCGAGTTACATACTATTGGTGAGTTTCTGTGTGATAGTCGTTGTTTGCTTTGCTCCTTTTTTAGTCAAAATGTTATCAGGCGTGCATATTGCTTGTTTGATTCTGGTAAAATGTTGCATACTGTAAAAAAAAACACACAAAAAGATCTGGTGCCCCCCTTTTCTGTTAATTTTTCTCTATTGAGAAGTTGGTGGCTTATTTTTTTTTATTCCCCTAAAGGTATAGTAATATATACATGTTCTAGTATATTGTAGTGAAATTGCATATGTAACTTAATATGTCCACTTTGACCTTTCACCCTGGCCATCAACCCGTCAAAATCAAATATCTATAAATGATTTGAATTTTTTAGTGGTATCGAACATCAGAAAGCGGACTGGATGGGAATCCATGAAAAAATATGTCAGAGTTTAATCGCATTAAGACAAGCAGCACCATTTCTCCCATCCGAAGAAGATAGACAGAAAAGGGAAAAACAGCTGCAGAGTAAAAAGGTGGCCATTTCACCCTGATAATTCCAAAATATTCTTCCTCCCAACGTATACAGTATGTTTCTATTTTCTGCAAAATTCAAATGATTTTGAAACTGTTTCAAAGTTTAACTTATTTTTAGGAACACATGATTGTTTTGACCAGAACCACTGGACAGAAACTGCTGTTTGAGGGCCGCCACGAGCAGGCGGTGCCTGCCGCCATGCAGTCCTTGAGATTCGCCATCGACGTCCACGGCTTGGCCAGCATCGAACTCGTGCCTTCTTACCTCATCCTGGGAGAAGCCAGCATAGGTATACACTGACATACTAAACTGATAATTATATAGACTACTTAATATATAGATATAAATACACCCTTGTTAATGTAGGTCATGCAGTGGCATATTTAATTGTCTATACACTAGTTGACACATTTAGCACATACTAGTACTTCATTTCCATTATATGTCTAGAAGAAAACTATGATTCCTTCAAGTTGAGACCATCCCTGCCAAGGCATTGGCACACTGCACAAGGCAATTAAGTCTTTTGTACAGTACGGTCACTTGGTTTCCATATCATCAGTTATCATTAATGAGTGTAGGCCCTGTGTACAGAAGATAATTACAATACTAATATTTAAATGGGAATCATGTGCAAACAGAGGTCACTTCTTTGTTTTCATTGTTTATTAACTTTAGAGTAAAATCAGAGCTTGGTCTCCCACTTTGGAAAAGTCAGTGGGGTGACTGCTGTGATGACAGTTTGATGTATGATTTAGTATACCCAGAACTGACACAATGACAAAGTGGATTATTCCCTTTTGTAGGACTTGGCAGATTAAATCAGGCAGAAGAATACCTGGCTCAGGCCCAGTGGACGGTACTTAAAACACCAGAATGTTCAAATGCAATAAAATCCAAACTCTACAGAAATCTGGGACTGTTGTATGCCGCTAAAGGCGAATATGACGAGGCACTTCGACAGCTGGCTGATGATGTACGTTGTTTGTAAAACATTATACACATGTACTGGATAACATAAAAATGTTATCTTTTTTAAGCAAGTATATATACCGTGGAATTATTTGAATTTGTGGGGATCAATTTCTGTGGGCAAGCAAAATTTTGCTTGTTCATGATGATATAATTTCTTGGGTTTTTTATGATAGTTTTAATGAATCAGTATGCCTACAAATAAATGTTCATGGGGATGTAAATTCGTGATAAGAGTGACCAATGAAATCTGCCAACTTTTGGTCCCCCACAAATAGTATGATATTACACATTATACCTGTATTACATTTGCTGTTATTATACTTCACTACTATCCTTTTGATCAGATCTACCATTCCTCTGAGGAGTTTGGGACGGGAGACATTAGGACATCTGGTGGATACTTTCACATGGCCAATGTTTTCTTCCGACAAGGCCGCATGGACGTCGCGGATTCTTTGTATAGTGAAGTATGAGGATTTCTTTTCAATTTTTCACCAACAGAATTTTTTACAGTCAAACTTGTCATAGCGGTCACCTCTATCCAGCGGTCACTTGTCTTATGCGGTCATTTTATTTCCTCCCAATGAAATTTCCTATATAAAGTAACTCTATTAAGCGGTCACCTTCGTAACGCGGTCAGCGGTCATCAAATTTCAAACGAAATCACCACTTTTCCCTGTCTTTAGCGGCCATTTTGTCCAATCACGTGACCTAATCTGGAGTCAGCTGATTCCCAATTTTTGTTACTAATGTAAATAATCAGTCAAGTGTTACGGGATCGTGAACAAAAATTAATAATTGGACTTTATTTAATGCCAATTATATTACTGGATAAGCATATGAATCATTTTACATACTAACTGCTTATATATTTTGCAAAACTCTAACAAGGCTTGTGACGAAAAAAGTTAACAGGAAAAAAAAGAATACTTGTATTATCGATACCTGATTATCAGTGTCTTTTATCTTCTGGATTTTTAATCAAGTTCTAAAAAATAACAACCTTATAAACATCTATTAATGAATATGATATTTTTGTTTACCATTTATGTACGTGTCGATATCGCGCCCAACTCTGCATACTCTGAGAGTTGTAAATGTATTATGTACGCTTGATAGGCATTTTAATTTTCACACTTAGGAAACTTGCATAATTTGTTGAAGCCATAATTACGGTTTATATACACATTGTGGCTTGGGTATGTTGTAAATTTCACAAAGGAAACGACCGTTGGGGATTAGTAACGCTTCATTGCTCAGGACACCTGTACAATTGTTGATCAACTGAGAGTACGTCTGAGAGTTTAATTACAAGCAAATCATGAACATGTATTAAAAAAAACGTTCAGAGGTTAATTTTATGAATCAAGTGTAGATAAAATAATTTTTGACTGATTTTATTCATTCCTCATACAAGAAAAAAAAAAGTTGTTTTGATGGGGGGTAATGCAACACCATGTAAGTGTAAGATTCAAATACAGGTATTTTATTAATTTTCTTGGATTCATTAAATATAGTTTGAATTCATCCATAAAAGTTTTGCATCTACTGAATAAAAAAAAAATAATAATTTAAGTGAGATCACTAATGTCCAATACCTATCTTTCTTGTATATTTTGCAGTGAAATACATAATATACAAACACAAAACTGACATAATTATAAATTCCTTTAAAAAAGATGAACCTCTATCCAAAGGTCACCTCTCTATAAAGGTCACTTTTTGTGGATCCCGTAGGTGACTGCTTAATACAGGTTTGACTGTATTTCATTTCTTAAAAGTATCACCCTAGTTGATGACATTATTTAGCCAATGTAACCCTAGTTTATGACATTCTTGAGCCAATAATATATCACCCTAGTTTGTGACATTTTTTAGCCTATGTCATCCTAGTTTATGACATTATTAAGCCAATATCACCCTAGTTTGTGACATTCTTTAGCCTATGTCATCCTAGTTTGTGACATTCTGTAGCCTATGTCACCCTAGTTTATGACATTCTGTAGCCTATGTCACCCTAGTTTATGACATTATTAAGCCTATGTCACCCTAGTTTGTGACATTATTAAGCCTATGTCCCCCTTGTTGATGACATTCTTTAGCCTATATCACCCTAGTTTTTGACATTCTATAGCCTATGTCACCCTAGTTTGTGACATTCTTTAGCCAATATCACCCTAGTTTGTGACATTCTTTAGCCTATGTCATCCTAGTTTGTGACATTCTGTAGCCTATGTCACCCTAGTTGATGACATCCTATAGCCTATGTCACCCTAGTTTGTGATATTCTATAGCCTATTTCACCCTAGTTTGTGACATTCTATAGCCTATGTCCCCCTAGTTGATGACATTCTATAGCCTATGTCACCCTAGTTGATGACATTCTATAGCCTATGTCACCCTAGTTTGTGACATTCTATAGCCTATGTCACCCTAGTTGATGACATTCTATAGCCTATGTCACCCTAGTTTGTGACATTCTGTAGCCTATGTTACTCTAGTTTGTGACATTCTGTAGCCTATGTCACCCTAGTTTGTGACATTCTATAGCCTATGTCACCCTAGTTTATGACATTCTATAGCCTATGTCACCCTAGTTGATGACATTCTATAGCCTATGTCACCCTAGTTTGTGACATTCTATAGCCTATGTCACCCTAGTTTATGACATTCTATAGCCTATGTCACGCTAGTTTGTGACATTCTTTAGCGTATGTCCCCCTAGTTGATGACATTCTTTAACCTACATTATAAAATTCTGAGGTTGATTTTTTTCTCTAGGTGTCAAACATTTGGTACAATCACTTACTGAAGATTGTCCAGGTGAGAACTAAGACTCCTGCGGCCCAGCAGGGGATCGGACCACTCATCCCAGAACAGCTTGAGGAGGAAGACTCACTCGGTATTGGACCAACTTAAGGATAATAATTATACTGTTTAACTTTTGTGATTTTATTAAGCTTTTCTTAAGAGGGCTGGGAGGT